CTTAATTTTTTCTTATTTTAATGTAAATTGTTTTTTCAGTTTTGGATTTTTTTTTGTTTTTTGCGTTTTATTCATTATTAATTTTTTAATTTAATTTTATTTTATTTATTTGAAGGGATTTCACGTTTTATTATTAATTTGATTTAAGCTTGTATTTTTCACTTTCATTTAAGATTGTTTTTGTTTTTGTTCTCCTATTCATTCTTATTTTAGTCTTTATATTAACTTTAACTTTCAACTTGCTCGCTAAACGGTTGTAATGAAAAATAATTTTTTATGACGACCCTTTTTGATTCTTCCCCTGCGAAATGCTACCCCAAACTTCCGACGGTAATTATTTTATTTTATTTTATATTTTTTAGTTTTATTTATTTTTTTCTTTTTTTTTGTATTTTTACAGCCATTTAGTTATTTTTGTATTTTTATTTTTATTAATTACAGTCGTGCGTGATGACGATTTTTAAATATATTCTTCAAATTCAATAAATTATTCTTCATCATAACCACCCTGCCTTTTAATTATTCAATATTATAGCTAATTTAAATGGTAGGTTAGGCAAACACTTAAATAATACTATTTTAATATCAAATTATTTTGCACGAACATTCTATTTATACGTACATATGGAATTTTTATTATTATTCCTAGTGGAAAATGTATTAAACACTTCAATATCTTTAGAATTTCTTCAAAAAGATTCCGTTTACAAAAAATAAAAAGTAAAAAACCTAAAGGGTGAAATATAAAATTGAAAAGAATTTTTTCGAACGAATCCTCCCCGGGTAAATTGAAAAATCCAAAAAATTAAAATGGCGTTTCTCAATTCATCGTAAATCTCGTTTTTCAAAGTGTTTAAAGATAAATGTTCAAAATTAATGACAAAACAAATTACCAAACCAGTAGAGAAAGAACCATAATAACTAAATATAAGAAATCAAAAAAAAAAGAAAATTTTTAAACTTACAATTAACACGTAAAAATTTCCTTTAAAATTAAATAACGTGAGTCAGCATGATGGGGGGGTGAAATTGCACTGAGGTCATAAGGAACGTTCGCCAGATGATAAAGGTGAAAGAGTGAGGGAAAACAAGTGGGAATAAGAGCGTCAACATAAAATTTTTCCATACCAAATCAATTCTTCGCAACATTAAAAATTTGAAATAGAAAATCTTATGGGAGACAAAATTGCTATTTTTAAAGAAAATAACATTTTAAAAATTAAGAATAATCCCACCCTTAAATTTAACAATAACTTAAAGGAACTAATTAAAAATGATCAACACTATTTAAAAAAATTTGACATCACTCTATACAACTCCATTGAACTGAACCCTTTGATACCCACCCTTAAAAGTACCAATAAGAAATTTTAACGTGTTAATCGGTCAAACCGTTCATTAGTTATAGCGAATTTAATCAAAATTAATTTTTTCTAATTGGGGACCAGACTTCCAGTTGGTAGGTACATGGAGTCATTTAAATGGTATAATTAAAAGGCAGGGTGGTTATGATGAAGAATAATTTATTGAATTCGGTGCTACATATGTTTTGATTTTTTAAAAATCGTCATCAGGCACGACTGTAATTAATAAAAATAAAAATACAAAAATAACTAAATGGCTGTATACCAAAAACAAAAATAAATAAAAATAAAATAAAATAAAACTAAAAAATATAAAATAAAATAAATTTTCTGTTGTTTCATTTTTCTTTTTCATGTTAAATTTTTTCATATTTTAATGTAAATCTGTTTTTTCGGTTTTGGAATTTTTTTTTTGTTTTTTTGCGTTTTTGGCTTGCACGTTGAAAAGAGATAGAATTCATTATTAATTTTTTAATTTAATTTTATTTTATTTATTTGAAGGGATTTCACGTTTTATTATTGATTTGATTTAAGCTTGTATTTTTTACTTTCATTTAAGATTGTTTTTGTTTTTATTCTCCTATTCATTCTTATTTTAGTCTTTATATTAACTTTAACTTTCAACTTGCTCGCTAAACGGATGTAATGAAAAATCATTTTTTATGACGACCCTTTTTGATTCTTCACCTGCGAAATGCTACCCCAAATTTACGACGGTAATTATTTTATTTTATTTTTTTATATTTTTTAGTTTTATTTTATTTTTATTAATTTTTTTTTTTTTGGTATTTTTACAGCCATTTAGTTATTTTTGTATTTTTATTTTTATTAATTACAGTCGTGCCTGATGACGATTTTTAAATATATTCTTCAGATTCAATAAATTATTCTTCATCATAACCACCCTGCCTTTTAATTATTCAATATTATAGCTAATTTAAATGGTAGGTTAGGCAAACACTTAAATAATACTATTTTAATATCAAATTATTTTGCACGAACATTCTATTTATACGTACATATGGAATTTTTATTATTATTCCTAGTGGAAAATGTATTAAACACTTCAATATCTTTAGAATTTCTTCAAAAAGATTCCGTTTACAAAAAATAAAAAGTAAAAAACCTAAAGGGTGAAATATAAAATTGAAAAGAATTTTTTCGAACGAATCCTCCCCGGGTAAATTGAAAAATCCAAAAAATTAAAATGGCGTTTCTCCGCTTCATCGTAAATCTCGTTTTTCAAAGTGTTTAAAGATAAATGTTCAAAATTAATGACAAAACAAATTACCGAACCAGTAGAGAAAGAACCATAATAACTAAATATAAGAAATCAAAAAAAAAAAGAAAATTTTTAAACTTACAATTAACACGTAAAAATTTCCTTTAAAATTAAATAACGTGAGTCAGCATGATGGGGGGGTGAAATTGCACTGAGGTCGTAAGGAACGTTCGCCAGATGATAAAGGTGAAAGAGTGAGGGAAAACAAGTGGGAATAAGAACGTCAACATAAAATTTTTCCATACTAAATCAATTCTTAATTAAAAATGATCAACATTATTTTAAAAAAATTAACATCACTCCATACAATTTTATTCAAGAACCTCCTCCTAGAACGCAGGTTTATTTATCTTTATCTCTCTAGCTCTTCCAGGGATGCGTTCTTCTTCAGAAAGGTTTTCTTCTTTGAAGAAACAACATATGCTTTTATAAAATATCTCTAGCCAAGTACCCCTACCTCAAGTACCTCTATCTCAAGAACCTCTATCTCAAGTACCTCTATCTCAAGTATCTCTATCTGAAGTACCTTTATCTCAAGTACCTCTAATAAATGTTTCAATATTTTATTTAGGATGGACTTTAATGAAAATCCTCTACTCTCCGCTCGACCTTTTAATATATTTTGTTTCCATACCTTTTAACCCCTTGTCTAATTACTATATTATTTCAAAGTATTAATAAAAGATAAAGCTTGTTTACAATGAAAGACCAATAATTTTAGTTTTAAATAATAATTATAGATATTTAAAGCAAATAAACTAGCTGCCATGACTTTTCACGATTAATAAATTGTCACAATTAATAATAATGTAGCACCAAAAAAGTTTTAAGAGTCACAGCAATAATAATAATTCTTTATTGACTAAAAATTAAGTAAGTCTACTTCATTACTAACCTAAATTTTTTGTCCATATTTGGCAACGTTCCTCATCGCGAGGAAATGTATACATTTATTTTCCGACATCGTACAAATTTAATATTATATTTACGTTTTCTTTTTTTGTGGTATTGACAATAACAAACAATAATGAATACGACACATTTGTAATAAAACTCTACAAATTGTTCAAAGTATTGAAAAAATTTCCCTAAAAATTAATATTATCCTTTAATGCAAATAAACTGGTAGAAACAACCGGTTTTTACGGAAAATTGTTTTCATACAATAAAATTTTATTTATTAATTAAAAAAGAAATACTAAACAATTTTTATTATTAGTACGAGAAAATATAAGAGGGGGAATATTAATCAAAAATGGTGCTGCCATCTCTTAATCATATCCATTATTATTAGAAAATCCACCAGCGCCCCCATAGCGGACAAATCCAAAAATAACACTTTACGCGTTACCAATTTTAACGTAGCAGTTAGCTGTCTGGTGTAAAATAACATTTAATAACATCAGTTGAGCGTTTTTAGTTAATTTTGAGTTGCTGACTTCCAATATGTCTTCCATTTTTAAAGGTGGATCTTTATTTTATAACTATAAGAATTATTTCTCAATTGTACTGTTAGCTCTGGTCGATTTCAATTACAAGATTACTGCTATAAATGTTGGCTCTTAACAGTATTTTGGAAAAATGGCCAAATTCGTTCTGGAACATTCAATATACCTTATGAAAAAGTATTGCAAGACGAAGCTTTTCGTCTTAGTGATGTTAGTAACAATTTGCATTGCCACATTATTGCGATATTTGAATAAAAATGAAATTAATAAGAAAGCTGATAAGATAATATGTCAACTTATTTGGATCCAAGATACAAAATGAACTTATTGATGCTGATGTAACTAACGAAGCAACTCTAAAAAGAGGATACTTTAATTAACAATTGGTGATATTTCCACAAGGATCCTTCAAGAAATTAATTTTATAGCGAATTTTGAAAATTATCGCAACATCGCAAATTTTATCAAAATTTCAAATATTGTTTTCTCAAAAACTAAAAGTTATTTTTCAAAACGGGTTGGTGCATTGGAAAGAGGACACTCTTATTAACACTTTGGGAAATTTTCATACTCATATTCCAAGAAGAGGATTTTATACGATTTTTTAAAACTTAATCGGCGAAAATCGATTATTTCAAAAATTTATTTCTCAAGAACTGAAAGTGTTTTTTGAAAACGGCTTTTTGCATTAAAAAGAGGATACTTTAATTAATAATTGGTGATATTTCCACAAGGATCCTTCAAGAAATTACTTTTATAGCGAATTTTAAAAATTATCGCAACATTTTATCAAAACTTTTATTAACACTTTGAAAAATTTTCATACTTATATTCCAAGAACTGGATTTTATACGAGTTCAACACCAAAAAGAGATACTAGATAATTAAAATGAAAAAATATAAAAACATATTAAAATTTTGCGAATTTATTATTTAAAAATTCTAATTAATTATATTGATTACAGATAACTTTACAAAAACGAATGGGAAAATAGATTTCCGCATATTTTTAAAACTGCCAAAGACACGTGTGTAGTAAACTCCTCGGTATATATCTCCATATATATTTATATATATATAAGACTTAAAAATATATTTGCACTTACATTTCTGTACAGAGAGTACGAGTAAAATTGAACGGAAATGAATAAAAGTCTCCTAAAAGTACGTCGACCACCTACGAGAGATTGTGAATTAATTCGATAACGAAAAATGATAGGTTGCGTTTTGGATAAAGGAAAGTGAAAGGGGGAGGTGGGGGACACAATAAATTAATAACGCTGGTAGTCGTGTCGGTCTTACCGAAAAACACTAAATAGTAATTAATTATCATCCACGCTTAACGACAAGACGCCGGAAACTGAACTAATCCCTATTATCAGAGACGATACGATTAAGATGAAAAGTTTAGAATTTGAGAAAAAGGCTACATTTTCTAAAATATCACACGTCTAGAAAGTCTTTTAATAAAGTAGTCCTTCGCTTCTCAGCGATATCCATTTGGTTCTCTAAATCTCCGCGGTCCGTCGTTTCAGCTCGTTCGATCTTCCACGACAAGTTTTCTATTTCCGCCTCAAGTTGTGCTTGTTGATATTCAAACAGCTCCTTTCGCGGCCCCGTTTCCATAAAATACGCGTACGGATAAGTATACTGCAACGTATATCGGCATTTAGCCAATAAATTCGCCGCTACAAATAAATACTGCCAATCGATCCATGTTCCCAAATTTGACATCACCTTCTGGTTTATCCTCGCTTTCAATTTTTCCAACGTTTCAGCCTCCAGTTTTAACGATTTCGAGTGATTCTCCCACCGTTCGTAATAATGCAAATATTTTTTAAGTGCTTCCCTAGCTTGAGCATGAACCGATTCGTGCGCGATATTTGGATTCTCCTTGTAACGCGAACACTCGTAATACTCCGAACCGTGAGACTTCCAATCGCCTAAACACATCCAACAAAAATCGTGCTTACAATTATAGCACTGCATGTGATTGCAACCTCCATTTTTCTCTATGCAAATATGACATTTTGGGCAATCTTTGGTATGTGCACTTATGTAGTTTGCTGTTTCGCTATCGTCCGCACATTTTGTTAACCACTGTTTTATTATTCCACAATCAGTAGGTGCGTGATAATCCATTCCACACCTAAAGAATTCATTAACAATAGTTATATTAGATAAGACAAAAAAATAGGAAAGTTGAAAAAATTCAAGAATCATCATGTGGCTTAAAAATTTTCGAAAAACACGTTTTATAGCCACGCATAAAATCAATCTGATAAACTTAAAAGTAAAGTTATTTTTACTAAACTACGTGAGATTACAACGTATATTTACGGATGAAACACCTTTGTTTTTCTTAGGCTTTTGATGCATAACGATGCATAACCTGTCGTTAGATAGACTATGCGTCAATAGACTTTGTGTTAATACTAGAACTAACACTAGACTGAAAACTAGAAACATTCGGGTTTAGCCGCACGTCTTTCAAGACGGCTAAACCCGAATGATTCTAGTTCTAGGTCTTGTGTTAATTCTAGTGATAGTGCTAGTATAAAACTGGAACTAACACAAGACCTAGAACTAGAATCATTCGGGTTTAGCCGTCTTGAGAGACGTGAGGCTAAATCCGAATGTTTCTAGTTTTCGGTCTAGTGTTAGTTCTTGTTTTGCACTAGAACTAACACAAGACTTAGAACTAGAATCATTCGGGTTTAGCCGTCTTGAGAGACGTGCGGCTAAA